TTTAAGTAGGGAAAACAAATTCAAGAGCACTTGGTTTTGGTGTGAAAATCTGAGCTGTTTGTGGAGTGTGACAGCTGTAAATGGTGCAAGGCAGCCTAAAACTGCCCATTAAAAAGGCAAAGAAATAAGTATCTGTGTGCAAACTGCTGGTTCTGTGTTGGCTTGTGTTTTCCTTCACTTGAAGTATGGGTCACTGAGAAGGAGCTTTGCATGCCTCCTTTGATGGTCTGAGCAGCTTTTCTAGCCAGTGTTTTTGTCTAGACAGTACAGACTGCAGTTCAGCAGATGAGGAACTAAGTAGCCATCAGGAGGTGTAGCTGAAAAGCCTGCTGGTTTGGGGGTACACTCCATGAGCAAAACAGTCTCCCCTGATAAAGATGAATGAAAATGAAAAGCTGGATAATTATTAAATACCTGTTTCTAATATTCTTTTCAGAAAATAATGCTAAGCTTCCATGAAGAACAAGAAGTATTGCCAGAATCGTTCCTTGCTAACTTCCCATCTTTGATAAAGATTGATATCCACAAAAAAGTGACAGATCCAAGTGTGGCCAAGAGTATGATGGCCTGCCTGCTCTCTTCTCTAAAGGCTAATGGTAAATTTCTTGCACTTGGAATTCCTTGTTTCCTAACTACATGTCATTTCTAGGGTGCAAGGCAAACTTGGGAAGATTTGGGTAAATAATTGCAAAAGCTTTTGAACAGCTAACTTCTGTTCCTGCCTTGAAAAAGGGAGCTTTTCATTTTAGCCATTATCCTGCAAATTAGAAGATAGGCAGGACTGAGGGAGCAATTTGGCATTGAGAGCACACATCTTTACATCTTGAACACTGCACAAAAGTCTGTATTTTTCCTGCTGGCATTGGTAATGATGCTTGTTTTAAAGTTTGGCTGTGTGCACTGGTGGGTAGTTACCAAACCTTCAGTATGGGAAGTGCTTGGCTGCCTGCCCTGACTGTGCACCTCACACTCACACTTCCTTTATGCCACTTGGTGCCTTCCTGCAATGCTGCTTTTGGAGCCAACATCAGATATTTTTGTGTGCAGTGAAAGGTGTGCAGAGGGTTTGTTCAGACTGATGGATGCATGCAGTGTGTACTCCCCTTAGGGGATGGTCAGCTGTGCTGCATAAATCTTAACTCTTGGCCACTATGCTCCGTGTGGAATTGGATCACTGATTTACCTCATGAAATTGGTGGGAACTCTAGTAATATTTGATGTCTGTGCTTTTTATGATAACTCTTCTCCTACAGTATTTTGTTTCTTTTCTTTCTTCAGGCTCCCGTGGGGCTTTTTGTGAAGTGAGACCAGATGATAAAAGAATCTTGGAATTTTACAGCAAGCTGGGTTGTTTTGAAATTGCTAAAATGGAAGGATTTCCAAAGGATGTTGTTATCCTTGGAAGAAGCCTTTGAAGTGCTTGACAGTGAACTGTTCCAGTACTGTAGACCCTTAACAGCTGGGCAGGTAGTGGTGGGGATCTTCATATGGTCTAACTGCACAAAGCCAGCAATAAGCCAGCTTGGTAAAAGGGGCTATGCGAAAATCACCCATCACACATTCAGACTGTCATTTGTTGGAAGGGGATAATGCTGCTGAAAACGTTGTTAAACAAAGAGAAACCCTGTCCTCTCCTGGTCCTGTGTGAAGTGCCAAGGAATCTTGCATGGGCTATAGCTTCTCAGAGGAATCCCTCTCAGTCGGTGCTGTGGTTGATGACAGTTCTCTGTGTCAAGTGTCAACAGAAAATTGGTCTCTGGCAGAATGCCTATAAAGATGCAGGTTTTGTTCTCTGTCATAGAGCAGGATGTGCAATTGCAGGTTGCAGAAATGGGAGGGGTTGCTTGTGTCAATCAGCATTTTTAAAGATAAGTAGTTACAGTTCTATTTTTTACTACCTTTATGCTTGCTGATAAAGCAATGACCCGTTGTCACTTCTAATGACCATTGGTTCAAGCTTTTTGTTTTGTTAGGGACAAATGTGCAGTGGTCTGTGGCAGAAGTCACTCAATGACAAACTTGTAAATTTCAGTGTATATAAACCTAGATGTATGCTGACTAACTTTTTGTTTACTGGTTTTTGTAACTTTTTCTTTTGAAAAGTGAAATGGTATAGGTCCAAGATGGCACTTTTGAAAAACCTAAAACCACAATCGAGAACAAGTCTGTCCTCAGCACTGACCTTTCTTACTGTGCCTCATATCCAGGGCTAGGTACTGACCATCTTGGGAGAGGGGAGCAGATCCCAATGACCCTTCCTTCAGATTGCAGTTTGTCACTGCTCGAGGGTATCATTCTCCTGGGACTGAAACAGCAATTCACAGGATGCTTTGCTGAACCCGTTAATTTTGGTAACGTTCACATGGGATTATGGATGAAAGATGGTGAGAGGGAGAGAGAGCTGGCCCACAGCTGGGATTTGTCCTTGGAAGAGTCACCATGTTTCAAAGCCTGTTCGTACTAGTTTGATTAAATCAGGGTCTTCAAGTCCTGCACATTTGTATCAAATAACTTTTCTATAAGAAATGCCACAATAAGCACATTTTTACACATTATTTAAATGGTTATCTACTTTTAAATGTTCCAAGAGTTTAATGTTTTTACCCAGGATGGACATGCTTGGTGATGGGCTGGAACTGGTGTCATATGGGACCTGGTATTCAGGTAGTTGGATCATTTAATGGAAATGGTATTTTGCAGTAGTCCCAGTGTCCCAGACAGGTGATTGGACAGTGGTATGCACTTTGCAGTACTTTGTTTCTTCCACCTGCTGCCATAAGCTGTCTATATCTTATGTTTAAATTTTCCTGGGGTTTTTTCAGTAGTGCACAAAGGAAGCTTGGTTGCTCTTACAAGCCTCCAGCTGCATAGAAGTTGATTTGCAACCTGTAATGAATGGCATTAAGATTGCAGTAATGCTCTCTGCAACCTGTAAGGAGATGCTGTGTTTGGCCTTCTGGTGCAGTCATGTGCAAGATGTTTCTTTTTATTTTATTTTTTTTTTTCTGCAGAATGTGAATGATTTTTAATGCGGTAGCGATGTATTTAAGTTGAAACAAGTTCATTTCATTTTTAGAGAGAGGTATGGGATTGTGCTGTGGGATTTCATTAAGTCCAAGCTGAATGCTACTAGTTTTTATACAGCTTTGAGTGCATGTTGAGTAGCTGATAACCTTGATTTACCAGGTGGGAGAGTTTTGTTTCTTCATGGATACCAGACTCGACTTACTTCATCTGGATGCATAACATTACAGCATAGGATGCTTGTGGCCTTATTTCTTGGCTTTTAAGGAGTTGCCACATTTTCTCTTCCTATGAATTTGTTATTATTATAGAAGTTAATTGTCTAAGCCTATGGAATGTCAGGCCAATACCATCATTCTAGGATTGTAAAGTGATATGTTGACATATCTTTCATGGTTATGAATTTTCATTAAGGTTGGAATGCCACTTTCATTAATCTGTTTTAGATCAACAGTATCTGTAGCAGAAAAAGACCTGTAAAACTGTATTTGAAGACCATGCGAGAAATAGAATAAAAATTGAGAAGTGAATGTATATAAATGTGTATTTTGTGAATGAGCTGGTCCAGAACCAGAAGTGGTTCAGCGATGTACATTACATCACACTGTAAGTGTTTAATGCCCTTGGGATCAGCTGTCAGAGGCTTGTGTCTGGTTTTGGTGTTGGCAGCTGTACATCCACAAAATTTAACTTGGGAACATAAATGCTGAGATACCTAAAGCAAGTAGCTTCCTGCTTAGAGTGACAGCTAATAATCAAAGGGATGGGCCAGGGGTATGAAAAGCAGCTTTTTCCTAAGGTCATTTCACAAGAGTTTGTCCACCTGCTGCACGGATGCACTCACTGGTGGTGGTTCAGAAGCTGTGCAGTGTGGAGAACAGGATAACACACAAACCAAGCAGGGAAGTTACAAGATGAAAACTTTTCTCCTGGCCCAGTAAATGTTCTCTGTTTAAAATGAGTAATGTGTTGCACATAGGTGACTGTTTTCTTAAAGCCTATTTCATGAGGTTATGACATACTTGTCTCTGTACAACACGTGGGCCTGGGAAAAGGGATTGGGCTCTGATGTTGCCCCAGACTCTTCCTTTAAGGGAGCATAATGCAGCAGTGGATGCTCCTGCCTCCATCGCCCGGGGTGGCGGCTGCAGACGGGTCAGGTAGGGTCAGTGGCTGCGCAGAGCAGCTGCTGAGGAGCGCATGGGTGTGCTTGTGTAACCATTGCTGCACGAGCACTTGCTTCTTTCTGGGACCTGGTTCAGCTTTTCAAACCTTCAGTCAGGTTTTCCTTGAACCTACTCCAGCTCAAGCAAAGTGAGTGGCTGGCTAGCAGAGGTCTCTGCGGTAGGAGCAGAGCCAGGTTTGTCCCCAGAAGGCAGTGTGAGCTCGTTGTTATTGGGGTTTGTTTTAATTTGGCTGCTCCTCTGCAGCACCAAGCAGACTGCTTCCCTTTCTGCTTTGAAAGACCAGTCCAGCCCTCTCCTTGCCGTAGATTTTGAAGTAGGATGTTGCCTTCTGTGCTCAAACGCTCCTGTGCCGCAGTCCCCAGTGTAGGGTCACGCTGCTCTTGTCCATGGTTAAAGGGATAGAGATGAAGAGCTGCCGTCCTGCTTCCATGCGTGTCACCCTCCTGTTTCCCCGATACCCCTCTTCGTACCCTCAGCCCCCTGGGGCTGGGCATGTGCCCTGTGTCTCCTCCTCAGTGCTGGGGCGGCTGCTGCCGCGGGCCGGGATGGCGCCCAGAAGGGCGGTAGTTGAGCGGCCGGTAGCAAGGGCCGTTTTTCCGGTGTGGCGTTTCCACGGCTGGCGGTGGGGTCAGTAAAAGCTGAAGGCCCAGCGTGGCTAGGAAGTACCCTGATACTGAGCTGTCCGGCGGGGCTCTGCCGCAGGACCTTTTGGTTCGGTCCCCGGGGGCGGGTACGGGGCGGAGCGGCTCGGCTCGGCTCGGCGCTGCACGGCCCGCCCCGCTGCCAGAGCGATCCCAGCGCCGCCGCCTCATGGAGCCGCACGGGCCCGCCTGTCCCGGCAGCGTCCTCTTCGGTGAGCGGCCTCGGCCGGGGGAGCGGGGACTCGGGCCAGGGGGAGCGAGAGACACGGGGGGGGTCACAGATAAATTGGGGAGGTGACACACAAGGCGGGGGTGCGGGGACGAGAGAGACGTAGGAAAGTGAGAGAGAGCTGGGGGCAGGAGAGAGACGGGGCAGAAGGAGACTTTGGTGAGTATTGCGGACGGCATGGAGGCTGGGAAGGCTGGTGTGGGTGGGGGGGAACGCGTGTGGGGGCAGCTGGAGCCGGGGGGCAGTGTCAGAGAGAGACCGGGGGCAGCAGAGACATTGTGGGGGAAGGAGGCAAGCGAGACACGTGGGTATGGAGAGACACGTGGAGGGCATTATCGTGCCGTGGGGGAAGAACGGTGTGGACACACACGTGTTTGGCCGCGCTCGGGAGGCAGCAGGCACACGCTGGAGGTCCCGGGGCGGCTTTGGGGAGCCGCGTGGGGTTTTGGTGTTCTGGCGGCTTTAGAGGGCTGGGATTCATGGAGCGGCGGGTTCGCAGCCCCAGCTCCCCCCGGCCTCTCCCGCTTCTCCGGTTCATCCCCGCGTTTCCCTGTCAGCGTGTCGTGGTCGCCTGTCGCGGGGCGTGGGTCCGGGTCCCTGCTCCGGGAGGGGTTTGGCCGGGCCAGGCGGGGCCCTGCGCTGCTCCCTGACCCGTGTGAGCCCGGGCCGGGCCGCGGCTCCGCGCCCTGCGGGAGGAGCGCAGTTACAGCCCCACAGGCCTCTCGGGCACCCGGGGTTCGGTCGTTCGGTCCTCCCCTCGGTAAGTTCAATATATAAGCATGGCAGAGAGCGGTCCTGCCCCGGGCTGTGCTTGTGCAGGCTGATTCCTCTCCCGTGGAAGTGCCGGCACTGGTATGCAGAGCTCAGCTCTGTGTTTTTCCAGTCAGCCTCACATTGGTGAATCATCCTGCAATAAGTAAACGCATCCAGGGCAGTTTAGTTCCTCCCTTTAGTCGACTGAATCCTGATCCTAAGAGCTGAGGATGTAGTTATGCATCTCCCTTGTTTTTGTAACTGTCTGAGGTATGTAATAAAATATGTCTCAAAACTTCTCTTGAGGGACTCCAGCTCCCTGCAGCTTGGCTGGCATCCTCCCCTTGAGTTGTGCCTCATCGTTCAGGTCTGGCACTCTGTGTCTGTCTCTGCTTCCAGACTCCCATTCAAGAAAAAGTTGAACTGGCGATGGCATGAGCAGAGTCACTGTTTTGTCTGCTCCCTCCTGTTTCCCACAGTGGTGTGCCCTGACTGTTCTGCTCTCTGGAGGGGAAGAACCTTGCCCTGCCAGTGCTTGGGAACCCTGGGTGCCCATGGGCATTGCTTCATGGCAGCCTGCTTTGGGGACACCAGGTTTGTCCCTGCATGGTGCAGAGGCAGGTGTGTCGTTTTCTGGGACCCTGGAGCCCAGGATGCCCTGGTCTGATGCTGCTCCTTACATGAGAAAATAAAGTTTTAGGATGCCATGTTCTTGCCTGGCCAGGGCTGCCCCTAAGGACCCCTTTGCCTGTAGTGAGTGTTGTTGTGTAATATTTGTTACTGCTTTTTTAATCTCCTACTTCTAGGCTGTGAGCTGACTGCCAGTACCAAATCCTACACATTTCAGGTGGATGAAGAAGACAACTTTGACCACATTTTATCACTGTCTACGGTAAGAGAAATGTTAATTACTGTGCTTGTTCTCTCTTGTAGTTGCCCATATCCTTATGCCCCTTTTCCAGACTCATCCTCCTTTCTTGGCTGGGCTGGATCAGGGGACTCCCTTGGCTGAGGTCCCAGGACTGGCTGCTCTCAGGGCATGACACAGAGTGGTCACAATTATCCATCATACAGAGGTGCTTGTGCAAAGCCTATGGTGGCAGGAGACTGCTGGCTAGAGGAATGCTCCAGACAGATGGTGAAGAAAAAACATTTTCCCTTTTATTTGACCTTGCTGGAGCTTCACACCAGATCCACCTGGGTCTCTGGCTTGTTGCTCCCCAAGCCCAGATAGGTGCAGGGCTTCATTCCTGGCCCTTCCTGGGGATGTTTTCTATCCTGGGAGCACAGAACCTGTCAGCATGGATCAGATCAGCAGAAAATGCAGCCCAGGTGCCATCCATGTTGGTGACTGCAGTAACAGCTGTTGCAGCTGGGAAAGGCACAGAGCCCTCTCTGGGGCAGTCAGGGGACATTTGCAATGACAGTGCTCTCCCTGTCTTGTGGAGCAGCATCCCCACACCTTGCATGACATCTGGGCTGGTAGCATTGCTGTGGGTTTCTTGTCCTGTGGAGGGCTCCAGCTGTCCCAGATGTGTCCCTTGGGAGAGGATTTTTTCACAGTCTCCACTCCCACCCAGGTCTGCCTCACTGATGGTGCCAAGGACGAGTGCAACGTGGTGGAAGTCGTTGGGCGGAACCATGAGAACCAAGAAATCGCTGTGCCTGTGGCAAACCTGAAGCTGTCATGCCAGCCCTTGGTAAGAGGCTGATTTGAGGACTCAGGGGTGGATGGCTGCAGGGAACAGGATCTTGGATCTGCAGCTCACAGCAAATGCCCTGGGTGCCCTTGGCCTGGCTGCAGATGGACATGTTTAACTGGGCCAGGTGCTGTACTGGGAACTACAGGAAATTCTGCTTTTTGCCTCTGCCCCTAACTCAGCTCCATCTCTGCTCTTTGCAGCTGAGTCTGGACAACTTCAAGCTGCAGCCTCCAGTGACCTTTCGGCTGGCAGCAGGCTCTGGCCCAGTGCACCTGGCTGGCTGGCACAGGATCAGTAAGGACTGAGGGGTGGGGGAGAGCTTGGGAGGAGTGAGGGGGATAAAGGGGCTCCAGTGTCAACAACATCCAGGGAGCTGCTGGGTGCTGCTTGGCATGCATGCTGTCCCTCCTTTGTGCTGGTTCCCCAGGGGCCATCTCAGTGCAGGGATTCCTTCCCTACCATAAGGCCTTGCATGGGAAAAGGGGTCTGGATATCACAAACTGTCCCCTTTTTTCATGTCTGCTTGTCACCATTCCCCTCTGAGACCTCCCTCCAGCTGGGATGCTGCTTATTTCCCACTGTTAGCTGCTGTGAAAGCTGGTGCAGAGCCCCTCGGGCTGCTCTGCTCCTGGGGTGTCTCTTGGGCCAGCTGTATTTGCACAGACATGCATTGGTGAGTAACAATTACTTGTGTGTGTCCCAGTGCACAGGGAAGATGCTTCCTTTGAGGAGGACGATGACTTGTCTGAGGAGGATGAGGAGGACCTTCCTCCTATTATGCCAGCCAAGAAGTAGGAGGAGGAAGGAGTAACTTGTCTCCAGGCAAGGTGAGGGGCCAGGCTGCCTTGGAGGAAGGATCTGGGTGGCTGTGATACTGGTGTGGCAAGTGTGGGTGGAATGTGCTGCTCAAGTCTGCTGATCTCACCCTGGTTTTTCCCCTAGGTACTCACTGGGACTTCTCTCCCTGGATGATTTTTACCTTGGATACCAGTTCCCATGACCTCAACATTTGCTGCTTTTTTTTTTTTTTTTTTAATGCTGTTTTAACTATTTGGGAAGCAGAGGCTGCTCCCAGCACTGAAGTGTCTCCTTTCACACAGCCCTGGGAGGGTGATCCCAAAACTGGATGGCTGCTGCTGGTGTATCCCCTGTCTCTGATCCCTGTTCTGGGAGCTGGGGATGGAGGAGGTGATCCTTACCCTGTGCCTTTTTGCTGTCCTGGACTTCTGCTCTGTGCACCCCCTTTCCCTGGCTGTGAAACACTCAGTCCTGGCCCCATGTCCAGCAGGTGGGTGTAAAGCCAGTGTGGGACAGGCACTTTCACTGATTCTAATGTGTTTGCTTTTGCTTACTCACAGTTTGGTGGTTTTTACTTGGAAGTGTAAAAGTGGGGCCCATGCTCTGTTCTCAGCTGCGGTTATGGTGGGGTGGGAGCCTCTGATTTGGGGGAGGTTCTGGGTCAATTTGCATTGTAAAGAACTGTTCTTACACTCAATAAAGATCTCTCAGGCATCGGGTCTGAGGGAAGGTCCCTGCTGGCTGCAGGTTCTTCCCATGCACGCTTCAGTGGGGCAAGTTTGAGCTGTGACCTTTGCTGGGGAGTTGTGTCCCCCTGGCCTGGGTACCTGGAGAGGGTTTGATCCTTTCTGCACTTCAGCCAGGTGCCATTTCTCACCCATGGTGGCTGGTTCTGCCCTTAAATGTTTCTCTGGCAGTTTCTCTGCAATCAGTCTTGCATTCTTGGCCCATGTCAATGCCTGTCCCTGTCCTCCTTGCCTGAGACACTGGCTCTTGTCCCTGAGAAGCACCATGGACTGTTCTGTCATGCTGGCTCTGTGGGTGCCCTGGGACAGTGAGTTTCTCAGTAGCCTGGGCTCATGTAGGAAATCCAGGGTGGATCCTCAGCTCAGGCTATTTTCTAGATTATGTTTCTCTCCTCTGGAACCTGTGCAGCTCCTTTGCACTTACTCACTGTTTCTTTCTGGCCCCAAACAGACCTTGCTTAGCTCTCAGAATGAGACTTCAAAGCCCTGAGCAGCAAAGGGAAAAGGAGTGAAGAAGAGCTGGCTCTGGGGAGAGCTTCCTGTGGCATTTCAGTGCTTAAAGGGGGCTTGTAAGAAATATGGTGACAGATGTTTTAGCAGGGCTTCTTGTGGTGGGACAAGGGGTAATAATTTTAAACTAAAAGGGTTTATTAAAATCAAATATAAGGAAGAAGGGCTTTTTACCACCCTTGGAGGTGGTAAAACAATGGCACAGATCACCCAGAGAAGCAGTAGATGCCCCATCCCCAAAAACATTCAAGATCAGGTTGAGCAGGGCTCTGAGCAACCTGATCTAGTTAAGATGCCCCTGTCCACGGCAGGAGGGTTAGACTAGATGGCCTTTAAAAGTCCCAAAAAATTCCATGTCTCCAAGACCGCTGGCGTCCCAGCCCCGGGGAGCGCGATCTCGGCTGCCTGGGGGGCACCAGCGGAGAAAGCCGGCTCGGAGGAGCTGGAGCCCGGCAGCCGCGCGGGGGAGGATGCGGGGGCTGCGGCGGCGGCGGGGCCAGCGCGGCACCGCCAGGGGGCAGGCGGGCTCTGCGGGCCGCTCCGGGGCACCGGGACCGCAGCTCCCGCTCCGACTGCCCGGCCCATGGCCGCCCTGCCCCGGCAGGGTGCACAGGACATCCCGCCCTGCTGCTGCTCCTCTCCGGTGACAGGGCGGCTGTGGCTGGCAGGGCTGCTGTCCCCCCCGCCATCCCGTGTGCCCGGGGCTGGCGCTCGGTGCCCGTGCCCACGGGCGCCACAGGATCTCTCGGCAAATCCCGTTGCCCTGGGAATGTCCCAAGTAGCGGGACGTTCCTGCAGCCGAGCTGGGTGAAGGGAGGCTGTGGCATCTCCCTGTGAGGCAGTGGATATTGGAAAGGTGTCGGTGGGCACACACACCAGTGCCCTGTGCTGATGGCACGGGGAAGGAGTCCTGGGCTTTGGATGGAGCCGTGGCTGGGACAGTACCCAGCCCCTGCCAGGGCTGGCACCCCATCACCTTGCAGATTTCCCTGGCTATGTGCACCTCGAAGGGGTCAGCGATAATCTGTCTGCCAGACCTTGACTGTGCTTGTGCTCCGAGGAAATGCAGCCTGACTCCAGGGGAACGGGAGCCAGCAGACCATTTTTAACAGGGCACTCTTGGAAGGGAGGGTTGGGGAAGGCAGCTGCTTCCCAGCCTGATGGGGAGTGATGAGTGGAGGGAATGGGCACTGCTCAGTCCTGGAAGGGTGATGCTGTTGCTTCACACAGTGGAAGAGGCTGTGTGGGCTAACGAGAAGGAGCATTTGGCCTCTTCAACAGTAAAAGGAGATTATTTCAGGCTGCTGGTGTGTGTACTTCAGGATGTCTAGGTAGCTAGAACAGAGGCAGGCAGGACTGTCCTGCCAGGGGCAAAGGTGGCACCGTGGGGGACATGAGGGTGGTGGCAGGAGGCTTGAGGGGACAAAGCTTGTGCACCCCACTGCAGGACCAGCTCAGCTCAAGACGTGTCATGGATGCTGGCTGGTCCCCAGTGCTGCTGTAGGGAATGCTGTGGGAATTGGATGCACTCAACGCAGAGGGAGCAGTAGAGGGGCGGGAATGTGCTGGTACTACCAAGCCCCTTTCTGAGTGACTTTGGGAGGTTTGCTTCCTGCTCCCCAGCAATGTCAGAGCCTTGATGTGCTCAGCTTGGGGAGAGGGAGATAAATGCTGAAATGTCAGGAGGCTGGGAGGGGGGTTGCTCACACAGCACTTAATGGGGAAGGATGGGATTACAGGGGTCACGCTAGGTGAGCAGCTTCCTTGGTGGAGCTGATGGTATCAAAGCAGGTGCCCCCGGCTGCAAATACCTTGGGCAAACAAACAGGGCTGCCTAAGAGCAGGTGGGCTCGGGCATGGCTGGGCTGGGGGGCACTCGGTGCTCCTGGGGGGCAGGAGGCTTTCTGTGCACAGGGAGTGAGGCTGGGGCTCTGGTGTGGGGCTGCCTTGCCTTCCACGGGGTGAGGGCTAATCCAGTGGTTGTGTTTCTATGTACAGACGGGAGCTCCCCATGCCGGAGACCTAAGGGTGTGGAGGTGCCAGTACCTGGGGAGCTCAATGATGCCCCAGTCCAGGTGGCTCTAGGATTGCTCTGGGAATTGATTTGATCTGAGCATCCCCTCTCTGCTGCTTCAGGGCTCTGCATGCTGGTACAGCTGGTGATAGATCCCTCCCTGCTCTGGCAGCAGTGGGTAACCCTGCCCCTGGCTGAGCCATGCAGCAGAGGAATGGAGCTTAATGTGGAGCTCATCCTTCATGAGGGCGGCTGTGCACCCGTGGTGCCACACACCACAGCCCTCCCAAACCAGCCTGCTGCTCCTGGTGAGAGGCTCAGGCTGCTTGCTGGCTCAGGTGCAGCCTCGCTGGGCTGGGGCCTGGCTGCCTCCTCCCTCTGGGTGGCTGGGCCAGGCCAGCAGCTCCCAGAGGATGCTCTGATTTCAGAGGTCAGGTCTGAGTTGCTATTTCAGGGATGGAGGAGGAGGATGGGGAGCTGCTCTGCTGAGCGTGGCCAGGAAGTGGTTTTCCTTTTGATGCCCCAGAGGGTCCTGCCCCATCAGAGTTCTGGCTGGGTTTCAACTCTTTGTGGCTTAGACCACGGCCCCAGGGTGGCTGAGCAGCACAGCTGTGACTGTGCTGTAGGTGGGGCTGGTCCCCTGCTCCATGAGCTCCCTGTTGCTGGTTCCCACGCTGGTCCAGGCTAAAGATCTTTTTCTCTGAGTCTTGGCTGCCTGGGCTTCGAGGGAAGCAAGGGGGACACGACAGGAGATGCAGCATCCCATTATCCCGGGGTGCAGCAGCTCTGCAAAGGAGGCAGAGAGCCTTGTGGCACCCTGGTGGCAGCAGGAGTCAGAAAAAGGGCCAGCAGAGCCACCTTTAGCTGGGACTGCCCTGATGGTGGGTGTGATGGGTGTCCTCTCTCTGGAGTGTTAGCTGACTGTGCCATCCCTGCTCCATCCTGCAACAGTGGGCACGGGTACCTCTGCTAGTGCCTCAGGGAGCCAGGGCAGGCCCGGGCAGAGCTGAGGACAGATTGTAAACAAGGGAGGCAGCAGCAGGGTCTGGAAGGGCCAGGCTGCCAGTAATTCCCATCCTCTTCCCATCAATATGCCTTGCAAAGGGAAATGGTGCTGTTGCACTGTGTGGGAATGGCCTTCTCTGCTGGAAAAGGTGAAGCTCAGATCTGGTGTCATCTCCTGCATGCTGGTGCTCAGACACAAGCTGGGTCCTCCCCAGGCTGCCTCAAGTTTGTTGGGAGCTTGGATGTGGGGCTGTTCACCCACTGAGTGTTCTGTGGGAGGAGAAGAGGTTCCTCCTGCTCCCAGTTCCACGGGAGATGTCTGGATTCACACCTTGGCACAGGAGTTAGCTCATGCCCAGGGTGGTGACAGGCTGTGATAATGTGATATGCACTCGTGTCCCCAGCCCCAGTGCTGCCCAGAATGCAGGAGGGGGCCGTTTCCATGAAGGTGTTGCTGTGGCTGCTGTGGCTTTTTGTTGTGCACTAAGGGCACAGCTGGAGAAGCACGGGATAATGTTGGAGCAGGGGTTGAGTGGGTTTAAATTCACAGACACTCACAGACACCTAAAGCAGGTGCTGAAAGTGAGTGTGTTTGGGCCATGGCAGAGAGCTCCATGCAGGGCAGCCTGGGTTGAGGCTCCCTGAGCTGTCCCCACTGTCCCCTGCTGAGCCCCTGCCCAGCCACCTCACACCAGGGCAGTGCTGGCAGCTCTGTGCTCAGCACCCTCAGGTGTCCCGCCCTCCAACCCTCGAGGTGCAATCTGATCTCTCTGCTCTGGGCTGTCCCTGGCACTGCCACTACTGCCCACGTGTCCCTGCCAGCCTGGTGGCATCCAGGGAACGGGGCCTGCATGGAGCATCTGGGCAGTGTCCCAAGGGATTTAGGATCTCTCAGAGTTTTTCTCTCAGGGATGTCAGTGGCAGAGCCCTGGCCTGGATGGGCAGGATTTCCCTTCTGTGGTATCCTTGTTGGTGATTTCTGCACAGGACCTGGGTGACACCTCACACTACTCCACACCTCCATTCCCTGCTCCCCTGACAGGCTCTTGGGGAGGCACAGAGCTGCAGTGCATGAGGTCTGGGGGCTGGATAGGAAGGGTTGCTGCTGATGGGCAGAGTAGAGGATGAGGAGAGCAGAGGAGACAGGGACCTTGTCTGTGGCAGGTCTGTCCTCCTAATGCCCAGCTTACAGGGGAAGGCAGCATGGTCTGGCAGTGGGGCCTGGCCATAGGGAGGTAGGAATTTAGTTCTGGAGAAAAAAATGGAAGTAGAATGTTTGGAGAGCTCTCAAACTCCATCTGAACTCCCTGGGCATTTGCGCCTGTGCCTAGGCTGACTCCCTGCAGCCCTGACC